CCAAGCTATCCCAAGAACGGCGATCCCTTGTTGAGCCTCTGTCAGTGAGATCCCGTCTTGGCCTGAATAGGGGAAGTTGGGAAACATTCGGGCTTAGACACGAGGTGAGATGGTGTCTCTGATTGGACTGTTTACATCTGGATTTGTTTGCAGTCGAGATCGGGCACCTATCTACAAGGTACTCCCTGCTGAACTTAGCTTGCGACATCTTTTTTGCTTGTTTGTGATATGGCACTGGCTTGTTGCCAAGCTCGAGGCGATATTACAACGGGTCATTGAGGCTGTGAGTACGCTTATTGAGTGGATCCCTCGTCCCGTGCCAAGCCGGGGCTTGTCCCCCGTCATGACTCCGGAGCCGTAATCTTGAGGGGAGGCCTTCGGAAGGTGTCTGTGTCCCAGTCTGGGGTTTTAGATCCCTGCCATATAACAGCCTGATAACAACCCAACCGTTCGGTTGAGCCTAGTAATTAAACTATGTATTCATCACCCTTGCGTATGTTGCTTTTTTGCAAATTTTCACATGTGAAGGATGAATTGTCTGTGAAACATTGTGCAATCTTTGTCATGTTTTGTGTCACCACATTTCCTTGCATTTCCTTGATTTGCCCATCTGGCCAAGTAAGCCTTTCCCGCCCGCAAGTGTGGATCACACGGCACTTGACCGCCACAGGGGAATCTACCTTTCAGCTATCTAGATCTAGCCTTAGAACGACATTCCGTGAGTGGTTAGCTGGATGATCGACACTTTGATCTGCACTCTTCACTCTCTTGAGCCTCCTCACTCGGCTCACAACTTGGCGCCCATTCTCTCCATATCTTGGCACCTCATTTATCTCCTCGCCAGTCACCGCATCTTGCAATCGCAGTTATCGCCAAGCGTTCAACGGATATCCAGGCTACCTACATGTACAACGTGCCGCGTAATCGGAGTCCGAAATGGAAACATGAGGCTTCCTGCAGTTTCATGTCCTCGTGGACAATAAGCGTAAAACCAACCTTATCAATTGTGTAACTAACGGTTGGTGATACGGTATGTGATTTTGGGCTTGGCTTGCTTATCAGGATCGTCGTCGCTGTGACGAGTCAGCAGTGTCGATCGTTTTTAGTGACCGTGGCTGAGTGGGAGAACTGCTTGACTCATTGACACGTATGAGACATTGATAAAGACAATGATTAAGCTTATCTGGTATCGACGCACGTCATTGTATCAAAAGTTCCGATCCGCGATTGTTACAGATCTACACTGTGGAGGTTAGCACAGTTTGCGTGGAGGCTAGCATTTGCGTGGAGACTAATTTTCGTGGAGGCTACAGCCTAATCTACGGAGGGTTACAAGCCGCAGTGATGCCGTATGATTGCACAAACTCGGCGCAGCTGTAAAGTTGCGTATCTGTAACGATAGGCAGCATCTCGTCGTGATACAATGCGTGAGCTAGCGTCACCGTGGTCCGCAGGGATTACTGAATTGGGAAACATGTCCAGATCTGGATGTTACCAATTCACCATTGGCCAACCTTGTTCTAAGCTTAAAGCAGGGAAACATCGAGGAAGGAGCACCTGCCAAGAACATACCCGCGGGTACTCAACTGAACCATGATCTTCACTGTTCGATAGATGAAGCAATTTGAGGGTCCAGCATGGCTTGGCTGTGGGGATAGGACTGGAATACCCCAGTGATCTGCCAGCAAGGTTGGGGAAGTCATTTGTGGGATTCAGAAAGATTGAGCCAAGGAATATTGACACAAGACCTTTACTAAGAGACATTGTTGAGTGGTTGGCAAGACTGATTGATCGGATTACTGTCCGAGAGTCGGATAAGAGCTCGGAAATACGATTGGGTGCCAATTGGTCACTGCAAGATATCTCGATAGGGCACATTGACTACGGTCTTACGCCTCTGACGGCACTCAATCGGCAGTGGCATCGTTAACGATACGCCAAGCGCCATTGCCGAAAGCGTGACTTGAGAATTGAGTTTGGCCTGCCGTTGGGACTTCGGAGGCATCACTATCCGGAAGTCTGTTCAGAAACTGCCGTTCCATCCCGCTCCGACGACGACAATGACGTTAGCAAAGACTCCAGTGATCTACACATAATTGGCAGAGACGTGTGAATCGAAAGTGTACAGTGAGATTGGACCCATAGAGCCCGTATATCTGCCACTCACGCGACTGTCGCAATGGACATGATCTGCAATCTGTTTCTGCTTTGAAAAGTCGCGAAAACCCTAGATTTAGCACCGACGGAAACCTAGATTGCGGACATTTTAAAGTCCGGTAGATCAGTACTGATGATGACGAACGGTTTCAAAACTGTTGAGACGTTGAATGATGTCAACGTGAAGGGCTGAGTTTTGTGGCTGAAGCTTATCTATAAACCCTTAGGTTAATCAACACAAACTAGAAGTTGAGACTGATGACTGCACATCAAGGTACAGAAAGATCGCTAGGATTAAGGTGATATCGACAATATGATTCTCTGCTGACTTCTGCACAAATTCCTAAATTCCGACAAGGTTCGAGTGCTGACATTATTGTGCAAATGAAATATTATTAGCTCCCTGCGCTAACCTAGGGACATTATCAATGGTGACTGCCCTTCGCACGTTGATGCCGTGACTTGCATTCTAGAAAATCAATGCAACCCCCAAGTCTTTAGCAAACCGACTTGCGTGTTCTTGTCTGTCATGTCCCTCCGGGGGCTCCTAGCGGAGGGCTCTCCCTCGCTGCGCTCGTACGCTGCACAGAATTACTCCGCCTAGGGTAGATGTTTTACTTCCAGACAAATCGACAGACCATCACTGATATCAGAAGTAACAAACTAGCTCATTTCTACTTTGTCGGTCCTCGAAGCATAGATTTACGAGCACAAACAGCAGAATTTGGCAGAAGACTGGAGGCAGTTCTCATTTTGAAACATGAGAACCTGTACTTGTGGGATACTGACCATGAGATATGTTCCTTTTCTGGATCTGTTGCAGTTCAGAGATCTCAGAGCTTCACCGGCCCGTACCCATTCCGATGTTCAACCGTGGCGGCGCTGAGATATGATTCGAGCCTCGAGGACTTGATCAAGGTCAATAGCAACTGATATTCTGTGGTGGACCGGCATTCGCTTGCCTGGATTCGAGAAATCGTTTTGATCCTATCGTTGCGTTATCGGCGACATCAGTAAACCTGCAATCACCAGCGAAGGTCAGTTCATCATAAGCGACAACAATCCAGCTGCATTTCGTACGCAAGGTCACATGTTCAAATCCGTAGAAAGAAATCACCTATCATTGGCTTCCATTGCCGCTGATTCTAGAAACAATCCCGATTGTTCAAGGATGACGTGTAAGCTAGAACAATTCGAGGCTGGTCGCCGGTACTTCGAGTTTCCGACGGCAATCAATTCTCCCGTTTCAAAAATCGGATGAATTCAGCTTCCGGGCACCCTCTGATTGGCCAGATTCTGACGCGACAGGCATTGAAACTTTGGCGGCCGACTTGACGTCGTAGCGAGTTTGATCTGGTGAGACGGGGCTGTGTTGAAACGCAATTGAAGCATGTGATGAGACGGGAGTTTTGGTATTTATATAGGGGAGATTCTCAATGAGGTGGTAAAATATTTGCAAACCAAAATGGATCCGATTTCAAAGACTCAGAGAACTATTCACGATGACTCCAAGTCAATGGGCAGACGCTTTGTTGACCTGGCCAAGGTACGGACCTGATCAACAGCCACGATCCTCGCTAACAGGTTAGTTTTTATCATCGTTAAAAAGCGATTTAGATCTCGCAAATGTCACAGCTCCGCCATTCTTTCTAGCTCCATCTTCAGTCGTCGAGAATCCCGGCAGCTGGGCAAAGAAGCCTCTGCTCTTCACAGCACCTACCAAAGAACTGGATCCAGCGAAACGAAGCCTTTCGGTCCTGCAATTATTCTTAGCAGGCCTCCGAAGTCAATTGTATGTTGCAGGCGCTCCAAATGTCAGCATCAAGAAACCTCTCAATGCTTTCCTTGGTGAACTCTTCCTCGCTTCTTGGAGCGAGGGTGACAGTGACACCAAATTGGTAGTTGAGCAGGTTAGCCATCATCCACCAATCACTGCGATGCATATTTCTGCAGATGGAATAAGAGCAGATGGGTATGGACGAGTTGAGATGACATTTAATGGAAACATTAATATTCGGCAAATGGGACACGCTATTATACACCTAGACAAGTTTGACGAGGATTATCTAGTTCCTCTGACAGACGTCACTGTACGCGGTTTCTTGTCGGCATGTCTTTATCCAGAGATCATTGGCACTTACACAATCGTGTCCAGCTCTGGATATGTCTCAGAAATTGACTTTTCTGGCGCTGGTATCTTCAGAGGCAAGCGAAATTGCTTCGAGGCGAGGGTGTATCACAAAGATGAGCCCAAGAAGCATTGCTACAAGCTATCAGGAGTCTGGAGCGAGGGATGGAAGATTATTGATAGCAAAGGAAAGCTGTTGGAAACATATACCGTCGACCCAGAGACATCGGCAGACATGCATATCGACCCAGTGGAGCAGCAAGACCCACGAGAGTCAAGAAGGGCATGGGGAGAAGTTATATCAGCTTTAGAGCAAGGAAATTATCGGGACGCCTCTCACGCGAAGCACGAGGTTGAAGAGGCGCAGCGGCAAAAGAGGAGAGACGAGAAGTTGCAGGGAAAGTCGTGGGAGCCATTGCTGTTTCGTAGTGTATTGGGTGATGAACATCAAACCTTTCATCGATTGGCCCAAGGGACGAAATGGAAGCTTCATGACCATGAGACCAAGGGAGTTTGGAGGCTTGACGACGAGGCTTTGCGGAGGATGCAAAAAGAGGATGGACAGATTACGATATGATGAACGCATTGTTTAGATAATAGGAGCGCAAGTAGATATTACTATATACCTGAAAATATAATGACTAAACGGGTGGTATTTAGTCCGCAATAAGTATAAATAAACGATCTGTAAAGTGGTCCCTCACCGTGCAATAGATCATCGAGAAAACGAGATCAGGACCTTAACCTCTTCCGTACGGTTGAACCGCTCGTAGTATTCTGGCGCATCCTCAATGTTAATCACCGCAGTGGTTATGAAACTGGTATTCGCAACGCCGCTTGAGATCAGACTGATGAGCTGCGGCGCGATCCGATATGGCTGCACAATACCCGCCTGCAGCCGAAGCGACTTTGTCCAGAAACTCGTGGCCGGAAAAGTAATGTCAGCGCTGAGCTGTGGATGGTCTAGAGCGGCTTGAGTACCAGGTGTATACGCATGCACGCCAACCTGGCCCAGTCCTCCTTCAAAGCCGGTCACGTTCACCATCTGCCGAACAATGATGGAGGGTTCAAACGCGAGACTACTGTTGAGTGCTTCTAGGCCAACACAGTCCACAGCTCGCTTCACGCCAGAAGGTTCAAGCTTCTGGATCTGGGTGACTGGGTCTGATTCAGCAAAGTTGATGGGTATGGCTCCGATGGACTTGGCGACGTCAAGACGTTCTTGGACGTGTCGATGGTGTAGACGCGAGAAGCGCCACGGAGTAGAGCACTATATGTTGCCATCAGACCCACTGGGCCTGCACCAAAGACGGCAACGGAGTCACCAGGCTCGAAGCCAGACCAGGTGATTGCCGTCCATCCAGTGGAAAAGATGTCTCCTGTCATAAGATAACTCTGCTCCAGAGCCTCAGTCGTCTCATTTCGATGGATGGGAAGGCGGAATAGATTAGCATCGGCAGCCTTGACAATAGCATACTCAGCTTTACAAGTCAGCGCTGTTCCAAATTCTGCGAGGTGATCCCTACCTTGGAGTCCTGATACATCGGGAGATTGCACTCCGCCTCCATAAGAAACCGGGAAAGTAGGCTGCATTTCCAACTGTCCGTGGTGAAAGTTATCAGGGATGACAACATAGTCTCCGACAGACACGGTAGAGACGCCGCTGCCGGTTTGCACAACATAGCCGATGCCCTCGTGTCCAAGAACATAAGGGTCCTGGTCCGGGGAGAACCCTCGATAGGCATAGAGGTCCGACCCGCATATACCAGCGGTGGTCAACTTGACGATTGCATCAGTTGGAGAGACGAGTTTTGGGACTGCAACGTCTTGGACAGTGACGTTGTATAGACCTGTGAGCAAGAGAGCCCGCATGGTGGCGGGAAGGGTGAGGTTGGCGGACACCATGATGATCTAGTGGCGGTCGACCGTGAAGTAGATTAGGAGGTTGTCTATTTTCATGAGAAGTAAGTGGATTGTGAGGTTAGTCTGTCATGAGAAGTCGGCGCCTTTATACGTTGAGGATCTCGACGTTTAGTCCATCGAGGCCGAGTCCGCATGGCATAGCATCCGCAGTGCGGGAAAGGCGGCCGAGGAATGTCCGGGGGATCCGTTCGGAATCTGCGGTATAGGACTTTCCCTATCTCCGGATGCGGATTTGCAAGTGTGGTGACGCGTTTTGCGGATTGACTGGCTATGACTTGAGGCTGTGGTCTACTACTTCATGATCCAGGGCCATCTCATCGTCATGCTAGGCTGACAGAGTCCCAGTGCTTCACAGGTCGGCAGTAGACAGTGCGTTGAGTGATGGTTCTGAGTATGAAAGTTTCATTGGAACTAGTGAGTCCCAAGACTCAGGGGCAAATGAAGCAAGGTTTTGCAATCTAGGAGGCGCACAGGCATAGTAAACCGTCAATTGACAAGATTTGAAAGAAGTCCTTGTGTAATACTACAATATACGACAACCATTCTGAACATGCCTAGGTAAGATGTTGAGAATCGGTATAGCCCTATGCTTCTGGGACCTCAGAGGTTTCTGTGTTGGGCTAGTGATCTGGAGGTCTAACTGTCTCATAGAGCACTTTCGATGGTTCTCCATGTATGCTCAGCAAGACATTCCCTTTGGCTCTCGCTCCAGACGGCCTTATCCCGAATTAAGCTCCCATCGCTATTTATGTTGCTCCAGAAATACCCATCCTTCTCTCTCTCACTAGTGACCTTGTCAAGATTCCCTAACAGACGCTCGGCGCACGTCTCAGGCTTCACAGCGATTAGTGGGCCAACTACACCGACAGCCGCTCTCATGTACCACGGCCAGGCTCTCGTAAGACCAGTCAGCACTCCGCCAGGATACACATGTGCGTAATGCCGATTGTCACTGCCATTCTGCACCGCGGCGTAGTGTTGGACCATAATGTCGAGCATAGTCGCAGACTGTTGGGCAGCCGTGCTCATAGAGTAGCTCCTTTTGAGGTCCAGATCGTCCCAGTTGATGTGAGCTGGAGAGCCTTCCTTGCCATTCAAGATGAAAAGAACCTTGGCGTCTTGTTTGAGAACAGGGGTCAGTTCACGGACGATCAGTTGTCTGCCGTAATAGTGAAGCGCCATCTTGCGGTCGATTCCCTCGTTGGTCTCGTCGCGGCCGGTAAAGTTGGAAGTTCCTTGCGACATGATGAGCATGTTGATTTGATTCCCCGCGAGCGTCTGTTTGAAGTTGTCGGTCCATTGCTTGACTGCACGCATCGAGGTAGCTTCAATTGGTGCAAAGTTGATGTTTGGGGGTAGATTAGCGGGTTTGGTACGACCGCAGACTGTGACGATGGCCTCAGGGGCTGCAGCGATGTGACGGGCCAAGGCCAGGCCGATGCCACTTGTTCCACCAACGACCAAGGCTCTGGGTGCCATTTCTTTGAAGTGTTGGTGCTGGTACAGACGGATGACCGGACTGGAGCATGGGATAGCACAGTTCTGGGAAGTCTGATAATAAGGGTATCAGTGGTATGAAGGGAATGAAACTGATTCACAAGTGTCTCTGGGCTTACGAGTCTGCACTTTTAGTCCAGTCGTCGCAAATGCGGCCGCAATGACCGCTCGCAACCAGCGCTAAGACGCGGGCTCACTCCGAGCAAGCTTGGCAGGCTAATTAAGCAACCATAGATTCGCTTATTGATAAGGGTTAGAAACGATCTCCGATCAGCTGGAAATTGACAGCACTCGTGGGAACTAACTGATTAAATGCCTGTTTTGTTAACTCAGTCACTAAAGCTAGGGAGCATGTTGGCGATGAGGCGTTTCTTCAGGCGTCCCCTTTTACTGGCAATCACACTGGCTACACAGCGAGATGCTTGCTCCAATCACTGTACTTATCTTGCAGGAACAAAGTTATAGGTTCTTCCTGCTTCTTCTTTAAAATATCTCTAGGGATAAAGCTAAGACAGTTGCCATCTATAAAGCACCTGTTATAGCCCTTTGACTCAAAACTTCAACATTCCTTGTCAAATTCTCCGCCATCTTGGACTGTTCACCATCAGTGATGCGCACAATGTCCTCCGCTGCGCTGTCACACCAATCCCTGAACTCCTCCTTTCCCCGCTCAAAGTCATCGTCATTCATAGCTGCCAGCGCCTCCATCTTATTGATCCCCGGCCGGATGTACTTATTAGACACAAGGACATACATGCTAGCCACGTCTGCCGTAGCCGAGAAGCGTCCTTGCAGCTCAAATGCATTTCTGAGTAGATTCTGCTTGCTTCTCTCCCGAATCTTGTCAACGCTGTCTCCCTTGTCCAACGCACGTTGGATTGGGTTCAAGAAACTCTGCAAGTTCTCATTTACAGTCGTCGTGATGACGGTTTGCACTCGGCTGAAGAATAATGCCATCTCCTCGACTTCCTTCTTTAGCTCTGTTAGGCGGCGCATAGACTCCTCGAGGATCTTCATAATCTGCTCCTGTTTACTGTTAGCATGCGCGCTGAGAGGGAAGACAAGACATACTAGTTCAATCTTCTCAGAGCATAGACGCTGAAGCTCGGCATGGGTCTTTGCGAGATCATGCTTAGCCTTCGTGAGGCTGTGATGACTGACTGAGAGCTTTTCATTCTGTTTGTTGAGTTCTTCCCAGAGCTTCGACTCGTTTCCTCTGGCTTCGTCCAATTGAGCCTGCGCCACTCGTCTCTGCATCTCACGGTGCTCTACTGCTCTGGCTATATAGGCCTGTCTTTCATTCTCGATACTCTCAGCATGTTCCTTACGGTGCCTGTTCTCTGCTGCGACCTCGCTGTCACTGGAGCCAAAGAAATATCCCCATCCTTTGGCGAATGCGCCCTTTTCTCCTTCAAAGAGTTAGCATATGATTAACTGCAGTCGGATATGAGATCCTACCACGACTTGGTGCTGGTCGATCTGGAACGAACTCCCGTGCGTGCTTCATATCGGACCATGCGGGTGGCTCCTCAATAGGTGGCCGATCAAGAAGCACATTCAACCTTCGCTGGGCTTCTTCAACCTCTCTCCGGGCCATTTGAAGCAACTTCTGTTGCTCTTGGATGGCTCGCTTGGCATCTTCTTCCTCTCTCTCTCTAGTTTGTCTTTCTGCATCTGCCATGACAGCATCAGCTGTGTTTTGAGTTCGTTTCTCTTCAGTCATCGCTGACAATCGTTAGCAATTGAAGATGATGGGATACTGATTTGGACGTACACCCCGCATCTTGCGAGTTCTTAAGAAGATGCATAATCACTTTCTCCCAATACTCAAACTTTTTGGTGATAGCTTCAGCATCAGCTTTGAAGTTCTCAGCGTTAGTTTCCAGTCGCTTCATAGCTCCCGGAAGATTGTCCTCGGCGTCTTCCAAATCGCTGAGTAAATCGATGATGTAGGCGATGGTGCCCTCAGGCGCAATCATGCTGCGAGCGACACTCTGGAGGTTGTTCATACGTTTCTGCGCATCAAGGAAAGCAAGTCTACCGATGTCCGCACAGTGCTGTAGATTTGTACGAAAATACTCTGACCTTCACTTCCGTTAGCCATTCATCTTAGTGCGGACAGGATACTTACGGGAGCAGACCGATGATTTTCCCAGTCTCATCCGTGATCTCCTTGTCCCTCACCTTGATGTTGGCAGCCTCGCGCACAGCCGCCGTTTTGAGACACAGAGCCATGATGGAGATGGCATTCGGGGCATGCGTGAGGGGCTTTGCCCATTCATTGCTCATGAGCAGGTCACTTGCCTTGATGGTTTGAACGACATCTCGACATGACATTTGAAGGGCGAGAGCATAGTTAGCTCGCTGCTGGGCTTTGTGATCATAGTCGGATTGACCAACCCCAAAGGCAGATGGCTGACGAAAGTCCTCCTGATGAGACGGATAGTCTGAGCGGCTGGCTGCCTTTCGGCCTTGATCAAAGGTCATGATTTATTATAAAGATGTAGTGGTTTCAAGGAAATGATAGCTCCGTGGATTTGATGGGCTCATAATTTCAAGAGAAGATTCTTCCTTTTATCACGAGATGGCTTTGGATATGCGGCTCTTGGACAGTGATTCGCCTCGTTCGCGGTTCGCATACGCTCGGACCTCAATTTGTATCAGCCTGGTGTCGAGTCTAGGCCAAAAAGTCAGCCCACCCAATGCAAGCCCTGAGAGATATCACGTACTGCACACTCCAGAAATGCTTGACAATGTCACCAGTACCTCAATTTTTAAGCAGTGACACAAACGATAACAGGTATACAGCAACTTTGAATTTGGTTCCGGCTGAAACATTAAGGCATAGCTAACTTTCCGTTCTGCCAGCTCGATGCATGTGAGCTGGCAGATTCAGCTGAACCGGGAACAAGATATCACAGTGTCCGTATAGTACCGGACTGTACAAGTGATTCGATTCAGAGGTGTTTGCTTGAGCGATCGCGTTGAATTCACAGATGCAAGGGTTTTAGTCTTGTGGATTGTACAAAACGCCTGTGCAGTAGTTTATCCAGCATGGTTGGCGTTGCTGCACGGGCGTTTTGTCTATCCAATCAGCTACACGCAAATCAAAACGAACCACTCCCCCTCCATGAAACCGTCAAGCTATTGACTGCCATGATGTTGTCTACCTTGCACCGAGACTTGCCAAACTCAGCCGCATTATGCAAGGTAGTCAATGTTCGTATCCCTACGTCTGCGAAGCCAATAAACACTTCGATTACCTACCGAAATCACGCGCGTCCGTGCCACAACTGAAGCCTGCAATGTTGTGGCGGTCTTCAATTTGCGACGATGCCCTGGTGGTCTAGAGGTAGCTAGTTACTGGAATGAATACGTACTTAGCTGAAATTGAACCTTATCAAATATTGAGTCACTAGAGCCGGCATGCCAGTTCTTCTAATAGTCCTTTATATCAAGCCATACTCATTGTCCCTGTCAAGCACTTTGCAGGCTCTCCCAGTCGACTTACCTCATATGCATGCCCGTTAGTACCTTGATTTGCCTGCATCAACCCTTTAACAATGGACAGCCTTTCCAATAACGTCTCCAATATTCAGCACTCACTTCAGTCCGCCAAGGAGCGACTCAGTTCTCTTGATGCCACTTCAAAGAATACTGTCGCTGTAGAGGTCGCTACAGTTCGCTCCTCTCTTCAGAACAGTCTGAGGAAAGCTCAGCACGCCAAATTACAGATGAGTTCATTCCTATTATTACTTGAAAATGTTGAAGATCCAACGACCGTCAACATGGCCCCTCAAATTTCTTGGTTGGGTCGATCTCTAGATGGCATTGCTGCTTCTATCACCCAAGCTGAGGCATCAGCAGATAGTGCGCTACAGTCCACCATGGACTGCTGCTACCAGGTGATGGATGTCGGGCGAGATGTTGAGACCCAGGATGATCTGCTAGATGAATGCCAGTCGCAAGCAAAAGAACTCGCTAGCCAGGCAGAGAGTTCTCTGACCTCGAGCGAAGCAATTCTGGCGCAGACACAAAGGGATGCTAGTGCCAAAGAAGAGGAAATTCGCATCAAGACTCGCCAGGCGAATGAGAAGAGGACTAGGAAGACAGAGCTTGATCGTGAGATATCTCAAAAGAACGGGCAAATTGCAGAGACACACAGGCGACGTGAGAGCAAGAAGGAATCGGCAGGCGTAGGACTGGTATGTCCTCAAATTTGCACGTCCAAGAGACTCGTCTAATTAAAGACAGATTTTGACCGGAATCGGCCTCATGGCTGCACCTTTCACTGCAGGGGCATCATTGGGACTAGCAGCAGCCGGAGCCGGATTTGCTGGGTTAGCAGAATGCACAGATTATCGGACAGAAAGCTAACATGCCATAGTTACAAGGGCGTTCGTGTATCGGACCTCAAGGACGAGATTGTCGCCCTTCGATCCAGGGTATCCACGTTGAATGGAGAGATATCCCAAGATCAGCAAGTAATCTCAAGCCTCGAGACTGAGCAGCGCAACTTGCAAAACCTAGTCTCGCAGTACCAGCGCGATATTTCATCCCGCCGATCAACGCATCAACTCTACCAGAAGCAAATCTCGGAGGCTAACCGGGTAGAGAACGACATCAAAACGCTCAAGGGTGTTGCAGAAGCAACCATCTCCAACATCAACGACGTCAACTCCGAATTGCAGGATGTAAAAGAGTGTCTGGATGAATGCAGCTCTCTCTTACAGGCCAAATCAGTTGACTTGTCGACCTCGGCGACCTCTATTGATTGGATCATTGGTGCGGTCGGTAGGTGCACTAGGAAGTTTCGTGCAAAGGAGTTTGAAAGGCAGATAACGCTTATGCAGCAGGTTGCTGAGGTGCTTGAAAAAATTGAACAGGAAGGCCAACTACTATTGTCGAGCCAGAATATGGCTTTCCTAGATGCCAAGCCTTGGGATGACGTGAAAACCCCAATCGTGGAGGAACATGAGACAATTCCTGAATTGATTTATATTAGGTAGTATGGGTAATATGCACCAGATGGAAAATATCACTTATTGGACTCTGACATAGAGCAAGCAGTCGTGTTTCTTGCACTGGTAATCACAATGGATACGCGGCCTCAGACTTGCTCCAATTTCTGTAGTCATATTGCAGGAACCAAGTTCCAAGCTCCATCTGCTGATTCAAGCTCTCAGCTACACGTCCCAACTGTAACATATTGCAGGCTTTACGTCTACATGTACGGCTTCACCTGCTCCATGGTCCAGTCCCAAAACTTGCTCCCGAGCTCTGGTTCTACAAAGTCCTTTCGAATCTTCTCAACCTTACCAAAGGGAGACACTATTACAGTCAGTATATGCCACGAAAGGTAGAGGCTTCTTACCCCATCCACCGTTGTTCTCTTCCGTGATGGTATCACTCAGCCCCGCAAAAAGCTCAGTGTAGGCGCCATTAATAGGATCCGATGAGATTAGTTTCTGGGCACAAGTCAGCCTGAGTATCGAAGGAGATAAGGTATACGTACAAACATGGCGAGTTCCATTTTGGACATGTTTTGCTGAAGGTTGGTGACAAAGTTGCCGGGGTTGAGGGCCTATAAGGTCAGAAGGATCGATAAGCGGCGGGCAACTTACAAGACTGATGATGCCGGTGCCAGCGGTTCTTCGCGAAAACTCGGCCGAATGGACCACGCTGGCGGCTTTGCTGCGCGAGTACTTCATCCACGCGCCCTCCTCGCGGTGGTAATCCATGTTTGTCAGATCTACAGCCGGATTCGGTGCAGCATCAGCAGCGCTGGAAGCGACCCAGACAACGCGGACAGAGTTGGGCGCCGATCCGGATGCCGCTGCAGCCTCGAGTGCAGGACGAAGCAAAAGGGTGAGCAAGAAATGCGCAATATTGTTCACACCATATTGGAGTTCGTAACCCTGCTTCGTCTTGGAGCCTTCGGGTGGGATCATAACGCCTGCGTTGTTCCACAAGACATCTAGACGACTCTCCCTTTCTAGAAATTGAGTGGCAGCCGGTTTGATTGTAGATAGGTCATCCAGCTCGAGGTGAAGAAAGTGGAGTTGGCCGGTGGAGGAGGGATGCGCGGATGTGATCTCTTGGATTACTTCTTCGGTCTTGCTTTGAGAGCGCGCAGCTAGGTAGACTTTGCCATTGTGTTGATAGAGTATATCAACGAGGAGCTTGCCTAACCCACCCGATGCGCCGGTGACGAGGAAGACCTGTATTGATTAGTGCCTGCTGGGTGTAACTGTTGGCAGAAGACGTACCTTGCCCTTCTGATCGGGGAGATTCTTTTCTGTGAGACGTGGCTTATTAGGGACCACAGTGCTGCAACGCATTCCAAAGTTGAGACTCATTTTGGTGGTAGATAGAACAGTTGGCGGTAGGCAGAACAGTTGGTGTCAGGGTTGTAGGTAACAGGGTTGTCATATGGGAAAGCTGGTTCAAATACATTTTCGGTCACAATACATCGCTAAAGTGGCGTTCTCTATGTCAATCGTCTAACTACTTGAAGATTAAGGTTGGAGCCCCGGACGCTGCGGTAAGCCACTGATGACTAGTGTCGCGGGAATGCGGCCGCATGCCAGTGCAGAACATCAGGGAGGGAGGCATAGATCTTTTGCGTGAAATGACGTCAATCTTCAGCTTATTTGTCTATTCTGCCTAGGAGGGAAAAAGCTAATGTGTAACTTTTATCGAGACGCCGAGATCTATCTCACCAAGTGGCGAGGCCTTGATGACCTCAGGTCAATCAATCTTCAGTTTATTACTTCATTGTATAGAAACCAACTAACGTGAATAAATTAGGAAAGAAATTAGAGCCTTTCTAGCAGCTACAAAAAGACATTACCATTGATGATTTATACAGTTTCGAAGCTCTCAAGGCCTTGTAGTTGGAAAGTATGTAAAAACATTATTCACGTATTTATTAAACAAGTGATCAAGACATATCGCACGTTAGACTTCAAGACTCCATAGATCTAGTATTATAAATATGCATTAAAGCTTCTCTCCCTCAAGCTCCTTCTCAGTCCAGTCCCACAACTTGGCAGCAAGCACTTTATCGTTGGTATACGGCTTACCCAACCCTGTTCGACCGATGGGCTCGTAGTACGTGCCCGAGACGACATCCTTGGACGTAGAAGCCCACAACTGGTTCAGAGTGCCTGTTGGGACATCTACACCGATGAAGAGAGTTGTAATTTTCCACGCTATACGCATGATCCAGCTGTTGTCGCTCATGGTGTTGGCCAGGTTGGTGGTCACCAAACCGGGCTGAAGCGAGGCAGTCGTGAGCTGGGGATAGCGTCTGGCAAGTTCTTTGGCAAACAGAGCGTTGGAAAGCTTGCTCTGTCCATAACGTGTGATGGTACCCATCTGAAGAGCCTGTCCCTTGAGAGTGTCGAACTTGATGCCCTCGGGGGGTGCATACTGATGGGCAGATGAAGCAAGGACGGTGACACGAACATCAGCACCCTTTTCTGCAGTTTGGAGGAGTGTCGGAAGGAGGAGCTTGGTCAGAAGTGCGTGGCCCATGTGATTGGTGCCGAATTGTATCTCGTACCCATCATCAGTTGTCCCGGGCGGCACAGACATGATGCCTCCGTTGAGCAGGAGAATATCTAGCCGGTCGGATTCCAGGGTGAATACCTTGGCTGCCTCGCGGATCGACTTGAAGGAAGCGAGGTCCATCTTGACGAATTTGATGGGCGCTTCAGGAACCTGCGCTTTGATGTCGCTGATGGCTTCCTTGGCCTTTGCTTCGGAGCGTGCTCCTAGCCAGATCTCTTTGGGGTCGTGCTTGGCAAACTGTAGGATCGACTCCTTTCCAAGACCGCTGTTTCCGCCAGTCACCAGGATGACTTTGTCTTTTAATGAAGGGATGTCGGTGTCGGGATTGAACCTGATGCTTTTGCTTCCTCCGGAGCCCATGATTGACGATTTTAGGATGTAGAGATAGAGTTATCGATGTAGATGAAGTGATTGTTGTCAAGAACTTGAGTTTTGTGACGGTTTATTACGAACTGAGAGTGTTGCGTTTAGGGACGGTGGCTGGAGTAGGTGATGCTTAAGTACTCTCATCTCATATCATTGCGACGACTACGGCCGCTTTCATGGTGTCGTGAGCCCTGAGCCCGCGAATACTCCGCAAAGTCCGCACTACTGTAATCAAGTCGTGTTCGGTCGACGCGGCGTCCTCTGATGAAGACTTGACCGTGTTGGGTATGGTGTGAGCGGCCGCAATATCCGCATCGCATGGACCAAGTGCCGCGACTAAGTATGCCCTGGAATGCTAAGCGTTCGGATCCTTGTTTGAGCCGTCTTCTAGGGCAGATTGAGGGACTTGGCGAATGAATCGTGGCCGAACCAACCGTACCAGGAGTTATATTCATGAACTCTATTTCATTGACCACCTGCATCGGACTTATCGGGGACTGCAAAAGAGCAATTGTGCATGGTCAAAGCAGCTCGACTCAATTGGAATTGCTAGGCTAGTATTCACTACGCTACCTGACCGTGCTCTCATTCGTCACCTCTGCTTGCAGCCTAAAGATTAACCTTTTATGCGGCAGTCATCCCTATAGTCTACGCTACCTGAAGCAATCCTAGCGCAACAGTCAGTATAGCCACGAATAGAAAAGTAGGAATAGAAGCGTTCTGAAGGTCTGTCTTGTTAATAAAGATCAGCCAGAAAACCACAAAGATTCCACCCAAGATAATGCAGAAAACCAGCCACGCCAGAAACCTTCGCTGAGAAAACCCCATCTTGGCATGCAGACCCCAGCCAGGTTCTGATATTCGCTTCGAGAAAGGGGGAGGGTTTCTCTTCTTGGGAAGCATATCAACAATAGTTGTTTCTCCTCTGCCCTTTTTTGGATCACGCAATCCAAATACCATCTGCAATCCAGCTGCTCTCATGTGAAAGTCGTGAGGCAAAGGAACAGAATGGTTATAGAATGGAGTAGTAGGGGGAGGAAGCTCTTTCTGGATAGGGTTGACTTGGTCTTTATTTTCCCAGATAACAAGGAACTGTTAAATCAGTACAGATTGTGATATGAGGGCATTTTCTGGTCTTACCTGAACAAAATCGATCGCAGTACAACGCTTCCATGAGAAGAGTCGACGAACCCAGCCCTCTGTACTACCGATTGCCTTGTTGACTTGAAGAAACAATTGTTCGTCGTCTAGCTTCTCTGCATTCTGAATAGGAGAAAGATATATCTCTGTTGGCTCTGTAAAGTTCTTCTCGATGCACCAGTAAATGTCTTTCGTATTTACATTTGTTCGGAGTACGGAGGAAATGGTACTTGTCAGAGCATTGGTACCGAGAGAGGACTGAGATGGTTGCCCGAGATTGGTTGGTTGCATAGAAGAACTTGGTTTAACAGCCTGCTGTGCCTTGGGACTTTGTCGTGTAAGAGGGAGAAGGGGAACATTATTGGTGGTCATAGGGAAGCAAGTCGCTTTGTAGCGATCAAACTCATCCCGTGAAAGACCTAAAGAGAGCTCGACTCCATGCCACTGGGAAGTATTAATATGAGACAACTCGTTAGCAGAATATGCAGAGCTTACTTTCCAAGTTGCCACGTAGCCGCCGGCATCCAGCTTGGGTAGTGGTTCACTGAGTGGAGCCCAATCTATTGGCCGGCCAGCCCATCTCTCAATTTTCAGTCTCAATGAATCTAAGGGCGACGGTGCCAAAAAGTCCGCTGGAACGAACCGAACCAGTCTTAACCCATCATTGAAGTTGATGTCCGGGAAGTTCTTCTATAGGATATTAGCCATGAAACCCCGAATGAAGGAAACAAACCTCTGCCAAATCTTCACAAACTTCAGCTATTTTAGGTCTCAACGCTGACTTGGCAAGCATGTAACTGATGACGGATTGCAACATCTGGGCTCGATAATCATTGGACGCCATTCGCTCAATAAACTCGAGAACCTGAGGTTTGACCTGTTCGCCATCATCGAAGCGAGTATCGTTGAACACGTCAGAAGAAATATTGTCTTCTGTAGTTGTTATGTGGTCGCGAAACGCCTCAACACCAGAGGAACCTCCACAGACCAGATATGCAAGCATCTCTGTAAACACACATCCCAGTTTCCATATGTCATTAGCCATCAAATCTGATGAAGAAGGGATCTTGATTCTTGCGCTCGTTTCCACCCCTGGCATGGGAGACGCGTTCCGAACTTCTGGAGAGTCATACAACCATGCTGACTGACGAGCTCGACTGCCTTGCTCCCAGGTCCTGGCTCTAGATAGGTCGACAGACAGCCCAAAATCTGTGAGCTTGAGAGACAGTCCTGTGCCTGAAGGTTCCTCATAGATAAGGATATTTGACGGCTTGATGTCGCGATGTGCCATATGAGCAGAGTCGTGAAGGTAGGCAACTGCACTCGAAAGCCCAGGAATCTGGCCCCAGAGAGAATCAATATTTCTGTTTCGAAGGGGAACTGGGACAAAAGGATCGCGAAAGAGACGTTTCAAGTTCGAAAGAGCCAATGGAAATAGGAAGTTGAAGTGCTGTGTCGTACCCATCTCGGATCTGAAGACAGAGAGTGTCTCTATCAGGTGAGGATGATTCAAGCTTTTCAGGCGCTTCAAGGACTCATATTCGGCCCAGAATTGCTCAGGACTTGTATATTCATGTAGACGTTTGACCGCGCACTGTAATGTTAGGTTAATCAGCCTTGAACAATGACAGACATACCTTTCGGACGACATCTCTTGAACCGAGAAGATGCCCATTTAATGACAAGCGAGTTTCTACTCCGAATACCTTGGAAGTCTCACCGCTTGCAACCGGAGTTGCGTACAAGCCTTGTAAGGTTCTTCCTCTCTCGATTGCGGCATTTTCAACAACAACAACCAAGACTTGATCCGGCATCGCATGAGCCTTGGAGTCCAGCGAAGGAACAACCTGTGTCATTGCATCAAACAGCGGGATTTGACTTGTATCGGGAAGCTCAGGCTCCTCAGTTGTGATTCGAGACGAAGACTGGCCGGAGGATGATCTTTCTTTTCTATGCTTTCCGCTTCTCGCCGATTTCTGTGTGGTGATTGTAAGCTCTCAGCTCCAGGTCCCAGGGATAACCTTACTCTTTTTGCCATTCTAAAAACTGGCGCCTCCCCCATAGAGGCCTTGACAGCGTTGTTTTCTATGACAATACGCTTGTATCGGCTTGTCTCCATAACCTCCTCCTTCTCCTCGAGGCTAAGATCTCGAGGAGCCGAAATCAGAAACACATCATCTTTCAACTGCGAAGCGATCAGTTCACGCAGCGGCAAAGTACCAAGAATGACATACAGATACTTCAAAGTCACCATCGTAAATGTGGTGAAGAATCCTGCGCAGCCTGACAATATCTACCTGATAGGTAGGTAGCGTGAACCAAATCCGGTTATTGCGATTCATCGATACAATATGCTTTCGAATGTAGAAGTTTGATGTCTGGAAGATACTCGCAACCCCGCAAGTAAGCCTGCCTGCAATATCCCTGCCTGCGGCTGAGACCTAATCGATGGTGATCCAAGAGGGATTATAAATAGTCCGGCATCCGAGGGTTAAGTGCTTGCTGACATCCGTGGCGTTGAGAGCCACCTTGACTTGTGCTTTAACGCATCACTAACGAGATATACAGGTGATCAATATCTGAGTGACAGACACCAATCTCATCAAAGAGCAGAGCAGAAGCCAATGGCAACAAAATACAAATCTACCGAGAATGAGAGTATAGGGACAGTAAAAACTCAATACTGCACTCTAAAAGCCAGCAAGCAAAGAAACTTGGGCTTATTTATGCGATACCAGAATCTGATTCAATAGATAAGTGCAATTTACTAAGTCATATCCAGCACAATCTGACCAAACTAAAACGTTTAAACTCCACCTCAAACAAGCTTGAGGTTTCCAACAGAATAACCGCACATCTGATCAGGAGACTTGCTACGAACTCCTCCAGGTCCAGTACCTTCGATCTTGGACCAGTCAATCTTGAGCCAAGGCTTCTCGCCAAAGTCCATAGCGTTAGGCTCCCAGTTAAGAAGGGGATTGTTTCCAGAGTCTCTCTCAACTTGGAGGGCCTGCTTCCAGGGCTGTGCCTTGGTAGGCTGGGGGCAGATGAGATCACACTCCCCGGGAGAGCTTTCGCGGGTCATGGGCTCGTCCTCGTAACGTTTCTTGTCTGCGTCTGTAGGACGACCTCGAGAATGGGAACGAGTTCTCTCCATTATACGTCTGCGAGTTGTTAGTGAGTGCTCTGGGGCGGTGAAGGAGCTACAACTTGTTGAATTGATAGTTTAGTCGGTGATTGAGTATTGAAGTTGAGTGAGCAATAGGTCGAACGTCGAGCAACTCGGTCTTTTATCTTTGAAGCAGAGCCTCAGATCTGAGCATCCAGTCAAGGTCGAACAAGATATCACAGACGTGAGAAATCCGATCAACAGTCGATTGGCCACTCCTGTGCATCCATTTCGCTGAGGGTGCTAACGTTGTCCAACCACAGTAGTGTCCCACGCCGAGATAATCAACCGGATTATCTCTGCAGTAGTCTCTTTATGGAACTGATCATGAGATCTTTTTGCGCCAATGATGAGGTTCTACCCCGCTTCAGATGAGGCTCTGTAAGGATGATCGGTTAGAATCTGCCAATCAACTGGACAAGAGCACAGCCTGATTAGTGACTTGAGACTTCGGTCCCGAGATTTCTGTAAGCGTGATTCTAAGTTTCAGATGCAATTCCATTCGATGTGGAGATTATGACATCTAGAGGTGCAGATAAGAGGCCTCCACATGGGCGACAATAGAGGCTCACACAAATGGATGATTGATCACGTATTCACAATCAAGACTGAATGATCCATTGACTTGATGAAATAAGTACAAGAGACATCTATCCAATCACATACACCCTAAGCTCGATGCTTTCCCGTATCTCCTCCGCAACAGCAGGGTCCTCATCAAAGAATGAAGTATGCGGCGTATCTACCATCATCAGTACATCCCTCAACGAGGCTCGGCACTTACACATGGCAACATCCTCAGTCCTCGCCAGAGAATCCATCGTCTTGATCAGCCAAACCTCCTCATCAGATTGGTCACTAACGTAGTACCACTTCTGATCTGGTGAGTAAGAGAAAAGGATGTTCTCACTCACGACGTGGGGGTAGACCAAATCACTTCGATGGCCGTCCCTTTCATCACATGTGCGGTAATCACAGAGTGTGAGGGGGTATTGGCGGACGGGTTTGAGGGGTTTCCAGACACTGCGCTGTTAGAGGTGAATGTACTCGGAGGGAGACTTACTTTATTATCCTGAAGCGTTGCGAGAGAATTGATGGGGCTTGGGAGCCAAAGTCGTGTTTAATCTTTGCGATTGTTCCTTCGTAGGTTTGGTCTGTACGTGAGTAGTTTATCAGGCATTATCGTATTGTAACCTACCATTGTGAGCAACCTTACTGGGTCTACCAATGTACCATTTCTCATCTTCAGGTGCAGAGCCTCGCGGCTGACTCTGACGGACCTACTTTCATTAGCACTGTCCAGACAAGCTGTGGCGACATACAATATGATCAAATACACAAACTTTGACGTGACTTCCAAGAACCTCTTTCATAAACTTGACCACAGCAGGATACCCTTCTTCTTGAAACGAAGGCCCGACATCAGAGAACTTGTGCTTCCAGTTCACCAATTGGAACCCATTCTTGTCGAGTGTAAAATCGGATTCATGGCCTCTGATGTCAGAGATCTGGACCCGTGCACTGGTGTTGATGACATTTGTGTTGGCGATTTTAGTCTGTGTGAAGGGAATGTTGGAGTAGAAAGGTTTCTCGGTTGCCCATTTCGGATCTGAGGCGTCGAAGAATTGGAGTGTTGCACATTTCGCTGGGAGAGTGTCCAGATTCTCGCAATCGGCCTTTGAGTTTGGATTGGGCATGATTTCAGTGGTAACTTGGTCTCAATTACAACATAACTTGCACTGAGAACTGAATAGCTTTGATGAATATATCGTTGAGAACTTCACAAAGTCAAAGTCAAGAGCCTCACGGATTGTCCCCGCACATGCAGTAAGCAGCCAGCCTGCTTGAGCCATCCACTACAACCTGCGAGTTCCAATTGGTGTCATATTTTATTCACGTATCTCTACCAAATGAGAGCAGTGCCCAGAACACCACCATGAAATGAGACCCGGAAGTCGCTTGTGACTCGCACTGTCTTCGTATCTGAACCCTCCACCGGATCACTGAAGCAGTGGCGGAACTTGTCTCGGACCGAAGGTACCCTCCCATGCATTCATGAACTTGAGAATCTTGGCTTCTTGGTCCTTGGCTGCGAGGACAGCGAGTCCGAAAGGGCGGCCGTTAAAATCCAAGTATCCGAGCGGAACATTACCAACGGGATAGCCTGAAATTATCAGTATTGCTCGTGAATTATGGATTGAACATACCGCTTCCACTTGCATACGCCTTGATTGCGGTGTCGCTTGATCCGACAATGACATCAACACCATATTCCTTGAAGATGCGATCCAATCCTTCGTCGCGGGCAACCTTTCGGAGGTGAGAGAGGTTCTTTTCGTAGTCTTCAATGGAGATATCCGATTCTTGGGCGTCGATCAAGAGTCCTTGGTCATCGTAGCCTGAAAGGTTAGCCGGGTCATCATTTAAGATGAGGACATACCTGGAGGCGTTTCGAGATCGGGATGGGCTTTGTTGAACTCGACCAGATCTTTGATGGAATGGATCTTGGAGTTTTCCGCCGACTCGAGATATTTGTTGAGGTCGTGCTTGAAATCGGCCACTATTTCGTCAACTCTGATCATCCTGCGCGGGGGGAAGGGGACTTACTCATGATGACTCCCTCACTGTCCTTCCCATCAAGCATGAAGCACTCAGAAGGAGGCGGAAGAGGAACATCACCGACATACTTCTTGGCCAGTCCCTCCATTTTGTCATAGGCAGCTTGGATCTCGGTGTGCTACAAAGTCAGCAGGCTCATGTAGTCAGTGGGTTACTCACCATCTGCTTTGTCGCACTCTCGACCGGCTTCAGGTAGTCCTCCCCTGGCCACCACTTCCTGAAGTCGATCGTCGCAATCGACAACTCATCCCAAGATCCCCCCCGAGTCGCAAACTCATCGGTCCCAGAGATGACATCGAGCAGAGCCGCCAGGTCGTATGGCGTCTTGGCCATTGGTCCAGCCGAGTCCATGGTATGACTGATGGGAATGATTCCAGACTGGGAAACTCGTCCGATTGACGGTTTGATCGTGTATAAAGCTGCTCGCGATGCGGGTGACACGAGGGATCCGTCTGTTTCGGTGCCGACAGAGAGGGGGGCATAACCTGCGGAGACGGCGACTGCTGATCCCGTGGAAGAGCCGGAGGGGTTCTGAACTGTCAGTATGGGATGTGGCGAGTCACGGGGTACTCACGCTGTGGCCATTGTTGCTGTCTTCAGGATCGATGCCGCCGCGAACGTAGGCGGATTGACATTGGCCGCCTTTGCCGGACCAACCACTCGGGAGGTCGTTGCTTCTGAGAGGAGTGAGTCGCTGAGAGTCAGTCTGAAGGTTAGACGTACCGGTAGTATGCCCATTCCTGAAAGGTCAGCGAGGTCACAAACGGCGACTGGGAGACTCACACTCAGATTCGCTTTTCCGATGATGATGAGTCCAGCTTGGATGAGCTTGTCGACAATGTCGGCATTCGAGGTAGGCGTCATGCCGTCCAATGCCCAAGAACCGCAAGTCGTCTCCATTCCCAGATCAGGAACCGTCGCGATGTTGTCCTGAACATATCAGCTTCGCACAACAACAGCGGCAAAGATTATACAGTCATACCTTGATCACAATAGGGATCCCATGCAAACGCCCCCGGACCTTGCCATCCTTTCGCTCCTTATCAAGCGCCTCCGCTCTCTGCCGCAGCTGATCTTTCGGCACCAAACTCAACATCGCATGAAGGTACTTGTCGTGCTTCTGAATCATCTCGAGGCTCTTGTCCACCAAGTCAACGCTCGTGAAGTGCCCATTCGTCAATCCGGATGCGAGAGTCTTGGAATCGGCAGAGAGGAGATCAGGCAGAGTGCGACTCTGCGAAAGAAAGGGCGCCATTTGACGGAGATTTGCCCAGGTGAACATGATGTAGAGTGTAAAAGTGACGAGAGAAATGAAGGCGATAAAATGGATCTGATGCAGAGCCATGCCTCGCGTTCTCGTGGTGAGGAGAAGCCTTATAAAGGTGAATGAGGCAGACAGATGCAATTAACCGATTCCACGTGATTGTCGGTGCAACATTCGCAGTGGCAGACAGTGAAATGATCAA